CTCACGGACTGTGAGATCATGACCTGAGCCGAAGTCAGATGCTTGACCAGCTGAGCCATCCAGGCGCCCCTGGCTTTCCTTTCTAAATTATTATTTGTTACCCAAATAACTCTTCAATAGGGGTTGAATCAAAACGAAGAAAATTGTTGTGATTCTTTTTGTGATTCTCTTACTGCCCCATACTTAATTGACCATATCATAGTTGTAAAATGCTTAGAAGAGAATTAACGCTATTTTCTGTCATGCTTTCTTCCATTTAACATGATATGAGGGGCGCCTGGGTGGCGCAGTCGGTTAAGCGTCCGACTTCAGCCAGGTCACGATCTCGCGGTCCGTGAGTTCGAGCCCCGCGTCGGGCTCTGAGCTGATGGCTCAGAGCCTGGAGCCTGTTTCCCATTCTGTGTCTCCCTCTCTCTCTGCCCCTCCCCCGTTCATGCTCTGTCTCTCTCTATCCCAAAAATAAATAAACGTTGAAAAAAAAAAATTAAAAACATGATATGAAAAGTTTTCATTTTGATAGTCATTTTTAACAGCTGAATAACACTTCCCACAGGGGGTTGTCCTGTAAGGATCCCCTCATATTGGACATTTAGATTGTTTTCAAGCTGCTTGTTTCAGTGTTATATTTATACAGAGAACAATTAAGAAAATAATTTGTTTTAAATAGGCCCCATGCCCAGCATGGAGCCCAATGCAGGGCTTGAAATTAAGACTCTGAGATCAAGACCTGAGTTGAGATCAAGAGTCAGATGCTTAACCGACTGAGCTGCCCAGGCGCCCCACTTTTGGGTTGTTTTAAGTTATTTACTACCAAGGATAGAGTCCCAGTTTTACATATGAATATCTGTAAGGATTTTGATGACTGCTTTCTAACAAGGTACCATTAACAGCGCACAAAGGGTTTTATATGGTGCCTGGAGAATGGTCAGAATGATTTTGTGTCACATGCTGTTATTTTTACACTGGAGAATTCTCCAGGCAATGCCATTTGTGTATCTTCTTTATGGGCCACGTAAAAAAGTCTGTGTGCTTGCTCACATAACCCATTTATTCGATAGTGCAGTTGATAGTCTGTGTAAAAGCACCCGCGTAAACGAACAGACAGACTCAGGGCGCAGTTCCTGATTTCAGCGTGGGGACGAGCATTCAGAACAGCCTCAGCTTTCTGGATGCTAACTCCTCATAATGTACCCTGGTCATTTAACTTAGTGGTCACACCCTGAATAAAACTAGATTTTCTCGGAGTTTTTTCGCACACCGCTTTAAATGCTGGTGCTCACGTTGGAGGAGTACGAGATGGGCACCCGAAATGTCTCCGAGCCCTTTCTGTGCACAGGTCCGTGCTGCCTTTTAGAAGGCCCGTGTGCTGGTCAGCGGCTTGGCTTCTGAGGGTTAGTGTGGTTCTCCCGGCCCCATCTCGGGGTGCTGGTTTTGTTGACTGCTCTCATCTTTGCCAAAATGCAAGAGCACCTGACCGGCGAGACCCTGGCGGTCGGGGCGCCGCCTTCTGTGCTGACCGGTCCGTTCCCGTCCCTCCAGCCACGGGCCAGGTCCTGCGCTGCGATGCCATCGTCGACCTCATCCACGGCATTCAGATCGTCTCCACCACCCGCGAGCTGTACCTGGAGGACTCGCCCCTGGAACTGAAGATCCAGGCCCTGGACTCCGAAGGTGAGGAGGTGCCCCTGCTTCTCTGTCCCCTCTCGTCTGACCCTGCTGTCCCCCAGGGAGGGCTGCCCCAGCCAGGATGGCGAAGCTGGTGCTGGGAAGACACCGAAGAGGTCGGGATCGCTCTGAGTGGCCCCCAGGCGCTCGGGGGCAGCAGGGCCATGGCCGTGCCTGGCACACCCCGGCCTCTGCAGCAGTGCCTGTGAGATGAGAGCTTTGGCGTTTCCTGGAGGGGGGCTCTGCGCCTGTGCACAGGGTCATGCTGGGTAGAACGCGTCTTTGGGAAGCTGACGTCCGGCGTCGTGGAGCTGTGGGATGGTGGGAGAGGGTACAGGGTCAGTACACTCTAAACAGTGGCAGTGTTCTCCCTGCCTGGCTTTGAGGGCTGGAGTTGGCTTCCTGGTCCAGACTGTGGGGCGCACGTGTGTGTGTGCGTGCGTGTGTGCACGCCAGGAAACGTCCCTGTGCCGGCCTCTGCACCATCCTTCACTTTGTTTCGCTGGAGTCCGATACTGAATTGTTCTGGGATTCTTAGAAGATCTGTTCTTGGTACCAGGTGGGCTGTGTTGGCTGCAGCCCGACCTCGTGGTCGAGGAGCAGAGGGAAACCTGCCAGTTGAGATTCCTGTTGGAGAAACTAAGTCAGGCAATAGATGTCTTTCAGGCCGAATGGTCTCCCAAAAAACTTCAGGCCAGACCTTGGCACACCTTGTCTTTGAAATCTTCCCTGACCATCCCAGCTGCCTCTGCTTTAAAAAAAAAAACAAAAAAAAAAGAATTCTCTAGATTGGAATTTCCCAGCCCGGGTACTATCCACACTTGGGGCTAGATAAGGATTTGTGGTCGGGCCTCCAGTACGTCGTAGCAAGTTCAGGAGCATCCCTGGCCTCCACCCACCAGAGGGAAGGAGAACTCCCCAAAGCTTCATGACCAAAAGTATCTCCAGCCATTGCCAAATGCCCCCTGGGGGTGAAATCACTGCTCTAGAGCATCTGACAGTTCCCTTGTCCCTATTTATTTGTCAGGTAAGCCGCCTCACTTCTCCGAGCTGTTGTCTGGTCTGTGAAACTGAGATAGTGGTGTTTATCGGGGGGTTGCAAGGATTTGGTGGGCAGTGTGTGCGGGGCTTAGTGCCGGGCGGCAGGTAGTGGTTCCCAGTGAGCCGGCGGCTGAGCATTTCCATCTGCTGGGCATCCTGCCAGGTGCTTCTGCCCCCGCAGCTCAGGCTGTGGGGGAGGGGGGAGGGGCACATGCATCTCAGCAGGTGCCGCTTCTCATCACCTTGGATGCAGGTGTGAAAGTGCTGCACAGCTGGGGGAGCCGACCCCAGGGAAGGTTGGAGGCTGGTGCATGGGGGACAGAAGTCAGGACAGTTTCTTAGGGACGTGATGTTTGACCGAGCCGTCGTTCTGAAGCAGTCATAGAGGATGCTTCGCGGGCTGTGTTCTAATAAAGCTTTATTTACAAAAACTGACGGTGTGCCATAGTTTGCCAAGCCCTGTTCTAGCCCAGTCCGTTTTATTTCCTGTCTTATGTTGCTTAAAACAACAAAAAAAGATTTATTTGTTTTTGAGATTCCAATACCATGAAATTCATCCATTTAAATTTAAATTCATCCAGTTCATTTTATATGCTTTTAATATATTCACAGAGTTGTGCAACCATCCCCACTCGCTAATTTTAGAACATTTTCGTCACTCCAGAAATGAAACCCGGGACCCAAGAACGGCTGCTTCCCATTCTTCCCTCTCTCCAGCCCCTGGCAGCCGCTACTTTCCGTGTATAGATTTCCCTGTTGTGAACATTTCGTATAAATAGAATCATACGATGTATGGCCTTTTGTGTCTGACTTCTTTCACTTAGCATAATGTTTATCTATGTAGTTGCATGGATTTCCTTCCTTTTTATGGGTGAATAATATCCTGCTGTATGAATGGACCACATTTGTTTATCCATTCAATTGTTGATGGACATTCAGGTTGTTTCCACTTTTTGGCTGTTGTGAATAATACTGCTGGGGCCATTCGTGTGCAAGTCTTTATGTGGACATAGTTTCTCGTTTCCCCTGAGTGTGTATACCCAGGGGTGGAATTGCTGGGTCACAGAGTACCTCTGTGTTACCCTAAAAGTGATGGCAAAGGCGGCCCCGTTTTCTGGAGCTTTTGCTGAGCACAGTTTCATCTGGCTTCTAAAATCACATGGGTGGGGAGGGGCGGGACTCCTCTGACTCTAAATGCCTTACCCTTTGCTCTGTAGAAAGAGCTTTCCTAGACGTTCTATTTGGGAGCTGGCAAGACAGGGAATGTAGATGAGGACTACAGAGTGGGGGTGGGACAACAGAGCATGGTGCGGAGTGTGGCAAACCGGAGACCATGATCCCTTCTAGTGAGGCTGGGCCAACCACTGGTTGGTCACCAGAGGGACGAGGGCCCAGGAGGCTGGATCTGCAGACTCTTCAAGAGAACACAGAAGTTGGATTTATAGGTTGCATTTCTTAACTTGAAATGGTGGGAAATACCTCAAAAATGCAAAAGAAGCATTGACTGGGTAACAGCAAAGCCACAGCTCCTAGGAGATCAGGCCTCAGAGTGACCAGTTTCCACCCTCTGCCCTGTTGCAGGGTTTCCAGGCGGGACCAGATCTGGTACTTAGACTAAGAAGGTCTTTATGGCGTGTTAGGACCCACACTGGGTCCTGTCTCCAAAATCCATCGCCTGGTTGCTCTGGCTGGGCTCCACTCGTCCTGACGTCCTATCAGAAGGCTCACGGGCAGCAAGCTGGCACTTCAGAGCTCGGGCCAGCTGGGTGCTTGCCACCTCCTCCACGCTGGGACCCTGGGAGTCTCAGCGCCTAGGTGGAGAGACCAGACGCTGCCCCTCATCCCCAGCTTCTTTCCCCGCAGAGGGAGGGTGAGGAGGAACCAATGGCTCAGGTCTCAGAGGCTGCGTCTAAACTGTAAAGTGCTTCCAGACGTGAGGGGTGATGGTGTCACGCACTTCACCGCGCCTGTCGTGAGCAGTCAGAGGCTGGAGGTACAGTGGGAAGAACACAGATGCTCACCTGAGACAGATTTGGTTCACATCCCAGCTTAGTCCCTCACAGTCACCCGACCCTGGCCCTTTATGCCTCAGTTTCCCTTTCCTGAAATGGAGGCGTGACACCTGCTTTGCAGAAGGGTGGTGCTGAGTGCCTTTGCCCCTTCCCTTGGCAGCAGGGAGTTAAGTCTGATGCATTTTTTGCTCCCCCACCACCTGCTCTTACAGGGAACACGTTCAGCACCCTCGCTGGGCTCGTCTTTGACTGGACAATCGTGAAGGACACGGAGGCCAACGGGTTCTCAGACTCCCACAACGCCCTGCGGTAAGAGGCACCTCACCTTTGCAGGAAAGCAGGAGGGGGGCCGTCGGTTGGCTGCATGCAGCTGGGGGCTTTTATCGTCACTGTCACCATCCCACCTTCAGCAAGGAGCCCAGGAAAGTTCCCGGGATGCTGGCCAGCATTCCCCATGACTGACTGAGGCAGGGCGTTTCGGCTCACACAGCTGTGCCAGAAGCTTACAGCCTCTGCAGCCCGCTGGGGCGCTCTCCGTGGGAGGTGGTCGAGGGGGCTGGGGTGCCCGGCTGTGAAACAGAAAACTTGTCCCAGGTAATGGAAGGCTGTCACGGGGCGCAGGGAACGGTGGCACATGGTCTCAGAGGGCAGCCCTCCCGTGGGGATACGTTAAAGGGGAGACAGTTTTCGGCCAGGAGGACATTCCGGCAGTGACAGCCAGCCCTTCACAGGCGCAAGAGGCTGCGTCCCTCAGCGCTGGGGGATGCAGACGGACTCCTTATGCGACGGGCTCGTTCAGGATCTCGCCTCACTCAGTCCCCCCACCAGCCACGTGGGCTCACATACCACTGTTTTTTTGCAACTTTTCAGACCTAGAAACAAAGGTGTAAGCCACTTGTCTGGTTGATGAGTGGCTGGGCCTAGAATTTGCATTCGGATCTGCGCACATCTGCGCTATCCAATATGGTAGCCACTAACCCAAGCCAACCCTGGCTCTTTAAGTTTAGATTCATAAAATGAAAACTCTCGCTCCTCAGCTGTACGAGCTGTGTTTCAAGCACTTGTTAGCTATGCGGCTAGTGGCTCCTACCCATTGGACAGAGCAGGTGTGGACCAGGAAGTCCTGTTGGCCAGAGAGGTGGTGGTGCAGACCCAGGGCCTGGGTTCATATCCCCTGCTATATACTGCTTCGCCTCATGCCTTATTAAGTAAAATTTCAAAGTCCCTCTTGGGGAGGGGGGAAGACTTAATTTTTTGCTGTGACTAGCCACTTATAACCTTTATTTATTTATTTTTTTTACTTTGTTTTATCTTGATTCCGGTACAGTTAACGTACAGTGTTGTATTAGTGTCGGGTGCACGTGTAGCGATTCAGCGCTTCCGTACGTCACCCGGTGCTCCTCGTGACAAGTGGCTTCCTGAATCCCCATCACCTGTTTCACCCATCCCCCCACACCCACCTCCCCTCTGGTAACCATCGGTTTGTTCTGTGTAGTCAGGAGTCTGTTTCCTGCTTGGCCTCTGTCTCCCTCTTCTTTTTCCCTTCCTTGGTTGTTTCTTAAATTCCACATATGAGTGAAGTCATACGGTGTTTGTATTTCTCTGGCTGACGTGTGTTGCTTAGCATCATGCTCTCGAGCTCTGAGGAAGACTTAATTAAAAAAGAAAACAAAGACTTGCAGTTATTTTCAGCCTACGGAAAAGTTACAAGTACGGTATACAGAGTGGTGTCCCTGAAGCATTTGAGAGCAAGTTGTCGACCTCATGTCCCTAATATTGACCGTGCACTGACAACCGCTAAGGACATTTTCCTGCGCATCTACAAGATGGTCATCAAAATGAGGAGATTGACACCGTCTGCAGGCATTGGATGCCGGTCAAACCTTGGCGGTCTATCCCAATTCTATCCTTCGTGTGAAGCAAAGAACCCAGCCAGAGCCACCTGCTGTATACTGTCCGTTCTCTTAGTTTCTATCAGCCTAGGACAGTTTCTTGGTCTTTGTTTGGCTTTTGGGACCTTGGTGCTTGTGAAGATTATAGTCCAGTTATTTTGCAGAATGTCCCTCATTTCGGGATTATCTGATATTCCCTCCTGGTTAGACTCAGAGCTTTGCGTCTTGGGCGGGAATGTCACCGAGGCGAGATTCTGTATTCTCCCGAGTGCATCTTGTCATGACTTTGTGGTCTGTCACCAACGATGTTCCCTGTTGTCACTTGGGCGAGATGGTGTCTGCCTGGGTGCCCACTGTGAAGTCACTTTCTTACCACTTTGCAGTTAGTATTTTGTGGGGAGTTAAGGGTCTGGTCTTTGCTTTATACTTTTAAAAGTGCAGCTCTGGGCTTTAGGGAACATCTTGGCTTTGCTCACGCTTGTCCCCATAGCACACATCCTCCTGCCCTGATGCTGTGTAAGCTGGGCTTCCCTCTTGGGTCTGAGGTCTTTTGGGAAATGGGGCCCTCAGCCTCTGTCTTCTGAACAAGCTCTGGAATTTCTGGTGTCTCATAAAGCCGGGCACATGGGCTGTGCATCAAAGAGACCTGGATTCCAGTCCTGGCCTGAATCCTGGCCCAGTCACTTCCTGCCTGTGGCCTTAGTCAAGGAACGCAACCCATCTGGGCCTTAGCAGCTCTGTGGGTTAGCATGGTGACTGGTATTCAGAGCCCCTCTCTGGGCCTGACGCCCCAGATGCTCAGAGAACACTGGTTCCCTGCCCCGTTCTGTGCCGCCAGGTGCATTTCCCGTCAAGCCCCCCGAACTTCCAGGCACTCTAGACTTGAGCAGAGTGTTGACCGAAATCTAAGGCGTGAAGGCATGTTGTGACCAGAGTGTCCTGGGTTTTCATTACATTCAGGATGTGGGGTGCCTGGGTGACTCAGTTGGTTGAGTGTCCGACTTCAGCTCAGGTCATGATCTCACAGTCCGTGAGTTCGAGCCCCACGTGGGGCTCTGTGCTGACCGCTCAGAGCCTGGAGCCCGCATCGAGGTCTGTGTCCCCTCTCTCTCTGCCCCTCCCTCGCTCATGCTCTGTCTCTCTCTCTCTCTCTCTCAAAAATAAATAAACATTAAAAAAAATTTTTTTTTTAATTCAGGATGTGACACCTAGTAAAACCAGGCAAGGAAATACATCACAGTGTAGTGCAGCGCCCGGTGGGTCTTGGGAGAATGAAAGCGTGTCCAGGGGATGCTCTTGTTCAAGTGGAAAGGCAGGCTGACTTGTAGATCGCAGGCTGCAAGAGAGAGACTGTACGGAAAGGGTCCCTCAAGCCCTGCTTCCAGCCTACACTGCAGGGAGGGTCACCGCATCCTGACTTCTCTCCCGACCTGGGGCTTCTCCCCACAGCCCAACCCCCAGAACAATAAGATGGGTGTGATCCCCTCGTCCCGACACCTGAGGGGGGTGGTCATTGAGAATCATTTCCCAGCGATAGGAGCTGGCCCAGAGGGGTGGCTAGAATGGAGCAGGGAGCCCTGGGAGGCTGGTGGCTTGGCTGGCACCACCCCGGCTAGCTCTGTGGTCATGGGCCCGCTTGTCAGTTTCCACGGACCTCACCTGCCACATCTGTGAGAGAAGCATTTCGACTAAGCAGGCGGTCCTCCTAATTTGGTGTTTCCCATAACCACATTCACATTTTGACACAAGGCAGATCGCCAGGTTTCGTGTAGACAAAGACCTGGGCCAGGGGCCAAGAGTCTGCATTTTTTCCAAGGAGGTTGGCAGTTCCGATGTAGGAGATTCAGGGACAACATTTCTAAGCAACGCCACTCACTGTTAGCTCCTGGCCTTCCTAGAGGCGCCGATAGATGGTGAATATGTTAGGGTCTTTGGTTCCACGTACCAGGTCTGATGACACATTCCCTTTCCAGAATCCTCACATTCCTGGAGTCCACATACATCCCTCCTTCCTACATCTCCGAGATGGAGAAAGTGGCCAAGCAGGGGGACACCATCCTGGTGTCCGGGATGAAGACTGGAAGCTCCAAGCTCAAGGCGTGCATCCAGGAGGCCGTCTACAAGGTGGGGCCCTGGGGCTGGGGAGGTGCCGGGCTTCCTGGGGGGACACCAGGCCGGCCATGCCGCTCACACCCATGCACACATTCAGGAGTGGGAACAAGTTGCTCTACTGTGAAAGCTTCATCGTTGGTGCCGTGGGAACTTCAGGCTGTAGTTCTATATTTCTGTTTCTTTGGTCTGGTTTTTTGGGGGCCACAGCTTTTGAGACAGGTAGTTGGGGGAACTGGAGTACACCGTCCCCAGAGTCACAAAGTAGTTGGGCCGTTGTCATTTTTTTTTTTTTTTAAGTTTATTTATTTATTTTGAGAGAGACAGAGACAGCACGAGTGGGGGAGGGGAACTGAAAGAAGGCAGAGGATCCCAAGCAGGCTCTGCGCTGTCAGCACAGCGCCTGACGCGGGACTCGAACCCGTGAACTGTGAGATCGTGACCTGAGCCGAAACCGAGAGTCGGACGCTTAACCGACTGAGCCACCAGGCGCCCTGGTCCATTGTCAGTTTTGAGGGAGGCCAGGAGTGGCAGGATTTTCATTAACTAGCAGATTTTCGACAAATACCCACCTGTCCCAGTAGAGGGATGTGTCCAAGCATTTGGGGCTCTGAAAAGATTG